AAAATCCAGTAATGCAGGATTAACAATTTGTATTTCCTACAGTTTAGCAAGTTTAGCAAGGGGAAGAGCATGTAGTACAAGAGTTATTTGAGCTCGTATAATAGTATCCACTCTAACATGATAAACAATTAACATCTGAACTGCACAATTTACAAGGTGAAACACATTACTAACATGTATTCAAATTAGCTGGTTTGTAGTAATAATCTATGCAACTCAAACAATTAGAAGCAGTTGTCACGCATGAAAAACAAGGGGATTAACATTGGGAGCAAGAGTTATTAGATATAAACTAACCCAGACTACATTATTTACAAATTCCATCCAAATAATAGTCAGAACTGCAACCAGTACATGTAGAGCCATTTATACAAGAAGTGCATCCAATTGGACATTAAACACAAGTAACTCCATTTAAATAATATCCATCAGCGCAAGATTAGCATGTACTTGAAGTTGTACAAGTTTTGCATTTTGAATCACATTAAGTGCACACAGCTCCAATCAAAAAATATCCAGAAATACATTCTTAACAATTAGTATTGCCTGCACTTTAGCATTTAATACAAGGGGATTAACAAGTCAAACATGAAGTTCCGCTTAAATACGTTGTATTAATACAAGATAAACAACTAATAGCAGAAGTACAATTAATGCATGGTGTTTAACATAATGTACATGTACTGTCTTGTATATAATAGCCATTTATGCAACTGGTACATTAAGAAATCATTCCACCAAAACATGATGAACATTTAGCCTCGCAACTGAAACATTTATTTTAACTCTAATCATAATATTATCCATCTGGGCAGTTACAAGTAGAACATTAAGCACATTAATAAAATGCATTAATAGAGTAGCCACTGGAACACAGCGTACAGTTTCCAGTATTTGCTTCACATTCCATGCAATTTGTTGAACAGGTTAGACATTATGAGTTTGATAAATATTTTCCAGTAAAGCAGGAAGTACACTAAGTGTCAGTATTTTAGCAAGTCTTACAACTTGTTGAGCATTAAACACAATCTGAATTGCTGCTATAAAATCCATCTGCACAGCTTCCGCACTAAACCTAGCTATTTACTAAATTGCAGATATCCCTGCATTTTACTGGGCATTTACTGCAAACTGTGCCATTCAGATAATAAGTATCAACACAACTATTACAGATTTATGATGATGAGCAATTTTTACAAGGACTGATACATTACAAACAACTAATTTAATCTAAATAGTATCCATTTTTGCAACTCAAGCAAGAAGTCTCTCCACTGCATGTTGAACACGGTGTTAAGCAAGTGAGACAAGAATTATTAGAATAGTAATAAGAAGTGCTTATACAGCTATTGCAAGATAATTCTGATGAACAAGTTAAGCAAGGAGATGCACAACTTATGCAGCTCGACCCAGATAAGTAATATCCACTTTAACATAATTAACATTAAGTTGCTGAGCCTGAACATAATTGACATGCATTGTCACATTTTGAACATAAACCATCAAAATAATAATATCCTGCAACACAGTTTAGACAATTTGAACCATTAGAACAATTTTAACATGGTGATGTACATTCTAAAATAAAATATTAAATTACTTATGCAAGAATTCGAGCTGAGATAATATGAATCTACACAACTGAGGCAATTAGTTGAATTTGTTACACAATTAAAACAAGGAGATTAACATGATTTACAAGTATTAGTTTCTAAATATTGAGTTTCCATGCAACTAGTGCAAGTAGATTAATCGGAACATGATTTACAAGTAGTTGAGCATTATAAACACTATCCATTATTCAAATAATGTGTCGAATCACAAGTAATACAAGTTAACTTACTGCTACAAATAAGACATGAACTTAAGGTTGTGCTGCATGAAATGCATTGACTATTTTCTAAGTAATAACCTGATTAACATGATAAGCAATTAGAATTGCCTGAAGCAGTACATGAACTACAAGGATATTCACAATTTACACAAGTCTTATTGCTTAGATATTTTCCAGATATGCATGATAAACATTCAATTTATGAAGTACAATTAATACAAGGTTAAATACATTGGAAGCACTATTATCCTGACAAATAATATTCATTTATGCAACTAGTACATTGAGATGCTGTTTATTCGCAAGAATTACAAGGACTTTAACAAGATAAACATTTAAGGTTTAAGTAGTATTAATTAATTCCACAAGCAATGCATTGACCATCTACTACCTCATATCCAGCATCGCAGGAAGTACACTGAGTTCCTGATACACAAGAATTGCAATTATTTGAACATTTTGAACAAATTGATCCATCTAAATAATATCCCATTTAACACTCAGAACAGTTGGTGGAAGTAATTGAACACTTTTTACATGCTGAATCACAAACATCACAAATTTGTCCATTTAGATAATATCCAGACTAACATAACGAGCAATTTATATTTCCTGCTGCTAAACAATTAACACAAGGGGATTAACAAGGTAAACAAGCATTATTATTTAAATAATAACCACTATTGCAATTTGAACATATATCACTGGCAGTGCACATATTACAAGGAGCAATGCAATTCTTACAAGTTTAAGAGTCTAAATAAAATCCATTAGTGCAGGCTTGACAATTCGATTTGATTCCTGAACATATGGTACAAGAAACATCACAAATTTTACATTTCAAATCATTGTTGTCGTAATATTATCCAGTTATACAAGTACAATTTGAACAAGCTATTGTTTGATAGAAATGATAAATTACTTGCACATTTATGGAACTCATCGGTCACATAACCTGATTCACAGCTTAAACAGTTTCCTGTACCATCTTCACAAGTAACACAATGCAAGGCACATTAAGTACAAGCTTAGCCATCCAAGTAATATCCAATATTGCATGAAGTACATGTTGTAGCCAAATCAACGCAAGTTTTGCAAGTACTAGAACATTATTCGCAAGTATCACCAAAGTATCCAGAAGCACAAGCATCACATTTTACAGAGTCAACTAAGAATTGACAAGTCGATTGGCATTTTACAGGGCATTCTAAGAAAATTAATTAATAAAAAGAATTTACGTTTGCATGTTGTTCCCTCAAGATAATATGGTTATTTGCAACTTGAACATTGAGAAGATGCTGGCCCATTGCAAATAGCACACTCTTAAGCACATTATTAGCACTAAGTTCCATTAAAGAAATATCCATTTATACAGGTTAAGCATGTCGCAGCACTTGAGCAATTTACACATGGTGACTAACAAATATTACAGCTGCTTGATTCCAAGTAATAGCCTTCAATACACTTAGAGCAACTTGAATTTCCAGATTACGAACATTCTGTGCAGGGCGATTCGCAAGATTGACAAGTCTTACTTGAACTGATGTAATAGGATCCAACAACACAACTTAAGCAAGCCGAAGCGGATTCGCAAGTGTCACATGGGGATGAGCATTGTTAGCAGGAATTATTATTCAAAAAGTATTTGGAATTGCAAGATAAACAATGAGTGGCTGAAGTTTCACAAGTGGCACAAGGGCTAGTGCATGCAGAACAAGCATTTTCTTATATGAATGTTCCAGGAGAACATTATTTGCAAGTGCCATCCAAGTAATAGCTTAATTGGCAAGAGGTGCATACAGAAGAACTAGAGCACTATGTACATCCAGTTGGACAATTTAAACATGAAGTTCCATCTAAGTAATAGCCATCAGCACAAGTTTGGCATTGAGTTTCAGATGTGCAAGTTTTACATTTATCATTGCAATTAGTACAAGCTTGGTTATCAACCCAATATCCTGAATCACATTTAGTACATTGATTTTAAGATTCGCACTCAGCACATGGAGCTACACAAGGCAAACATTAATTTCCTTGGATGTATTTTCCTGGAGCACATGATATACAGTTTGTTTCACTTGTGGAACATGTTTTACAATTAATAGAGCAATCATAGCAATGTTAAGAAGAGTAGTATTGGGAATCTGTACATGCCTAACAATATCCATTGACAATTTGATAGCCGGAATCGCATGAGTTACATTATGTTGCAGATGAGCAATTATTACAATTAGTCGAACAGATAATGCAGCTTGTATTATTTAAATAAGAGCCCAATTGGCATAGGGAGCAATTATTTGAAGTGGTTGAGCATTTTAGGCAATTCAGATCACAAGGTTTGCAAATTTAACCATCAAGATAATATCCATCTATACAGGATGAGCAATTTGAGTTTCCTCCAAGTGAACAGTTTACACAAGGGGAGGTGCATATTCTACATGTCGAAATGTCTAAATAATATCCAGCAATGCATGTTTGACAGGTGCTGACAGAGCTGCAAGTTAAGCAAGGATCTGGACAATCAGTACATGTTGAGTTATCCAAATAAAATTAAGGTTAACAAGCTTGACAATTTGTGGAGGTACCAACACATTAGGTACAAGATTCATTACAAGTTTTGCAAGTTGTCTAAGAGCTGTCGTAATATTATCCAGTTATACAAGTACAATTTGAACAAGCTATTGTTTGATAGAAATGATAAATTACTTGCACATTTATGGAACTCATCGGTCACATAACCTGATTCACAGCTTAAACAGTTTCCTGTACCATCTTCACAAGTAACACAATGCAAGGCACATTAAGTACAAGCTTAGCCATCCAAGTAATATCCAATATTGCATGAAGTACATGTTGTAGCCAAATCAACGCAAGTTTTGCAAGTACTAGAACATTATTCGCAAGTATCACCAAAGTATCCAGAAGCACAAGCATCACATTTTACAGAGTCAACTAAGAATTGACAAGTCGATTGGCATTTTACAGGGCATTCTAAGAAAATTAATTAATAAAAAGAATTTACGTTTGCATGTTGTTCCCTCAAGATAATATGGTTATTTGCAACTTGAACATTGAGAAGATGCTGGCCCATTGCAAATAGCACACTCTTAAGCACATTATTAGCACTAAGTTCCATTAAAGAAATATCCATTTATACAGGTTAAGCATGTCGCAGCACTTGAGCAATTTACACATGGTGACTAACAAATATTACAGCTGCTTGATTCCAAGTAATAGCCTTCAATACACTTAGAGCAACTTGAATTTCCAGATTACGAACATTCTGTGCAGGGCGATTCGCAAGATTGACAAGTCTTACTTGAACTGATGTAATAGGATCCAACAACACAACTTAAGCAAGCCGAAGCGGATTCGCAAGTGTCACATGGGGATGAGCATTGTTAGCAGGAATTATTATTCAAAAAGTATTTGGAATTGCAAGATAAACAATGAGTGGCTGAAGTTTCACAAGTGGCACAAGGGCTAGTGCATGCAGAACAAGCATTTTCTTATATGAATGTTCCAGGAGAACATTATTTGCAAGTGCCATCCAAGTAATAGCTTAATTGGCAAGAGGTGCATACAGAAGAACTAGAGCACTATGTACATCCAGTTGGACAATTTAAACATGAAGTTCCATCTAAGTAATAGCCATCAGCACAAGTTTGGCATTGAGTTTCAGATGTGCAAGTTTTACATTTATCATTGCAATTAGTACAAGCTTGGTTATCAACCCAATATCCTGAATCACATTTAGTACATTGATTTTAAGATTCGCACTCAGCACATGGAGCTACACAAGGCAAACATTAATTTCCTTGGATGTATTTTCCTGGAGCACATGATATACAGTTTGTTTCACTTGTGGAACATGTTTTACAATTAATAGAGCAATCATAGCAATGTTAAGAAGAGTAGTATTGGGAATCTGTACATGCCTAACAATATCCATTGACAATTTGATAGCCGGAATCGCATGAGTTACATTATGTTGCAGATGAGCAATTATTACAATTAGTCGAACAGATAATGCAGCTTGTATTATTTAAATAAGAGCCCAATTGGCATAGGGAGCAATTATTTGAAGTGGTTGAGCATTTTAGGCAATTCAGATCACAAGGTTTGCAAATTTAACCATCAAGATAATATCCATCTATACAGGATGAGCAATTTGAGTTTCCTCCAAGTGAACAGTTTACACAAGGGGAGGTGCATATTCTACATGTCGAAATGTCTAAATAATATCCAGCAATGCATGTTTGACAGGTGCTGACAGAGCTGCAAGTTAAGCAAGGATCTGGACAATCAGTACATGTTGAGTTATCCAAATAAAATTAAGGTTAACAAGCTTGACAATTTGTGGAGGTACCAACACATTAGGTATTGTTGGTGTAAAGTAATTAACGAATTTTGAGTAATAAATATTACTTAAGAATGAAAAGAATTATGTAGTAAGAAATTCAAGTTTGCTATTTTAATAAAGAAAATTTTAATTTGATTAAGAAAATTTGTGTTAAATTTAATAAAATAAATTATTAAATAATATGGTTCTTTTTTTTATGGTAGAATATAAAAAGTTAAATCTAATTATATTTTAATTAAATAATATTAAAAAAAATAACTATTTTAATAATCATATTTCATTTTTTTATGGCAGATTATAAATAGTTAAATCTAATTATATTTAAATTAAATAATATAAAAAGAATAACTATTTTAATAATCATATTTTCTTTTTTTATGGCATATTATAAAAAGTTAAATCTAGTTGTATTTTAATTATATATTACGAATAAAAATACAAATAGAATAACTATTTTAAAAATCATATTTCCTTTTATTATGGCAGATTATAAAAGTTAAATCTAATTATATTTAAATTAAATAATATAAAACGAATAACTATTTTAATAATCATATTTCCTTTTTTTATGGTAGATTATAAATAATTAAATTTAGTTGTATTTTTATAAAATATTACAAGAAAAGAATAACTATTTTAATAATCATATTTCTTTGTTTTATGGCATATTATAAAAAGTTAAATCTAGTTGTATTTTATTAAAATATTACAAGAAAAGAATAACT